CTCTACCACCTTCACTGTATCCCTCTACCAGCTACACTATATCCCTCTACCACCTACACTGTGTCTCTCTACCAGTTACACTGTATCCCTCTACCACCTACACTGTATCCCTCTACCAGCTACACTATATCCCTCTACCACCTACACTGTGTCTCTCTACCAGCTACACTATATCCCTCTACCACCTACACTGTGTCTCTCTACCAGCTACACTGTATTCCTCTACCACCTACACTGTATCCCTCTACCAGCTACACTATATCCCTCTACCACCTACACTGTGTCTCTCTACCAGCTACACTGTATCCCTCTACCACCTACACTGTATCCCTCTACCAGCTACACAGTGTAGCTGGTAGAGGGATACAATGTAGGCTACACTTTATCCCTCTTAACTGTATCCTGTATCGGATACAGGATACAGTTAAGAGGGATACAGTGTAGCCTACACTGCATCCCTCTACCACCTACACTGTATTCCTCTACCAGCTACACTGTATCCCTCTACCACCTACACTGTGTCTCTCTACCACCTACACTGTAGCCCTCTCCCACCTACACTGTATCCCTCTACCACGTACACTGTATCCCTCTACCAGCTACACTGTATCCCTCTACCACCTACACTGTATCCCTCTACCACCAACACTGTATCCCTCTACCAGCTACACTGTATCCCTCTACCACCTACACTGATCCCTCTACCACCTACATGTATCCCTTTCCCCTACATTGTATCCCTTACCACCTACACTGTATCCTCTCCACCTACACTGTATCCCCTACCGCTACACTGTACCCCCTACCACCTACACTGTATCCCTCTACCAGCTACACTGTATCTCTCTTCCAGCTACACTGTACCCCTCTACCAGCTACACTGTATCCCTTTACCACATACACTGTATCCCTCTACCACATACATTGTATCCCTCTACCACATACACTGTATCCCTCTACCAGCTACACTGTAGCCCTTACCACCTACACTGTACCCTCTGCCAGCCCCACTGTATCCCTCTACCAAACTCTCTGTATTCCCTTACCAGCTTCACTGTATCCTTACCAGCTACACTATATCACCTCTTTCACTACACTGTATCCCCTTACCAGCTACACTGTATCCCTCTGCCACCTACACTGTATCCCTCTACCAGCTACACTGTATCCCTCTACCAGCTACACTGTATCCCTCTACCAGCTACACTGTATCCCTCTACCAGCTACACTGCATCCCTCTACCAGCTACACTGTATCCCTCTACCAGCTACAATGTATTCCTCTACCACCTACACTATATCCCTCTACCACCTACACTGTATCCCTCTACCAGCTACACTGTAGCCCTCTACCACCTACACTGTATCCCTCTACCAGCTACACTGTATCTCTCTTCCAGCTACACTGTACCCCTCTACCAGCTACACTGTATCCCTCTACCACCTATACTGTGTCTCTCTACCACCTACACTGTAGCCCTCTCCCACCTACACTGTATCCCTCTACCACGTACACTGTATCCCTCTACCAGCAACACTGTATCCCCCACCACCTACACTGTATCCCTCTACCACCAACATGTATCCCCTTTCCCGTACACTGTAAACCCTCTACACCTACACTGTATCCCTCTACCACCTACACTGTATCCCTCTACCACCTACACTGTATCCCTCTACCACCTACACTGTATCCCTCTACCACCTACACTGTATCCCTCTACCCGCTACACTGAGCCTTACCACCTACACTGTATCCCTCTACCAGCTACACTGTATCTCTCTTCCAGCTACACTGTACCCCTCTACCAGCTACACTGTATCCCTTTACCACATACACTGTATCCCTCTACCACATACATTGTGTCCCTCTACCACATACACTGTATCCCTCTACCAGCTACACTGTAGCCCTCTACCACCTACACTGTATCCCTCTGCCAGCCACACTGTATTCTCTACCAACTACTCTGTATCCCTTTACCAGCTACACTGTATCCCTCTACCAGCTACACTATATCCCTCTTTCACCTACACTGTATCCCCTTACCAGCTACACTGTATCCCTCTGCCACCTACACTGTATCCCTCTACCAGCTACACTGTATCCCTCTACCAGCTACACTGTATCCCTCTACCAGCTACACTGTATCCCTCTACCAGCTACACTGCATCCCTCTACCAGCTACACTGTATCCCTCTACCAGCTACAATGTATTCCTCTACCACCTACACTATATCCCTCTACCACCTACACTGTATCCCTCTACCAGCTACACTGTAGCCCTCTACCACCTACACTGTATCCCTCTACCAGCTACACTGTATCTCTCTTCCAGCTACACTGTACCCCTCTACCAGCTACACTGTATCCCTCTACCACATACACTGTATCCGTCTACCACATACACTGTATCCTCCCTTACCAAAATACACTGTATCCCTCTACCAGCTACAATGTATCCCTCTACCAACTACTCTGTATCCCTCTACCCGCTACACTGTATCCCTCTACCAGCTACACTATATCCCTCTACCACCTACACTGTATCCCCTTACCAGCTACACTGTATCCCTCTACCACCTACACTGTATCCCTCTACCAGCTTCACTGTATCCCTCTTCCACCTACACTGTGTCCCTCTATCAGCTACACTGTATCCCTCTACCACCTACACTGTATCCCTCTACCAGCTACACTATGTCCCTCTACCACCTACACTGTATCCCTCTACCAGCTACACTATATCCCTCTACCACCTACACTGTATCCCTCTACCAGCTATACTATATCCCTCTACCACCTACACTGTATCCCCCTACCGCTACACTATATCCTTACCACCTACACTGTGTCTCTCTACCAGCTACACTGTATCCTTCTACCACCTACACTGTATCCCTCTACCAGCTACACTATATCCCTCTACCACCTACACTGTGTCTCTCTACCAGCTACACTATATCCCTCTACCACCTACACTGTGTCTCTCTACCAGCTACACTGTATCCTTCTACCTCCTACACTGTATCCCTCTACCAGCTACACAGTGTAGCTGGTGGAGGGATACAGTGTAGGCTACACTGTATCCCTCTTAACTGTATCCTGTATCGGATACAGGATACAGTTAAGAGGGATACAGTGTAGCCTACACTGCATCCCTCTACCACCAACACTGTATCCATCTACCAGCTACACTGTATCCCTCTACCACCTACACTGTGTCTCTCTACCACCTACACTGTATCCCTCTCCCACCTACACTGTATCCCTCTACCACCTACACTGTATCCCTCTACCAGCTACACTGTATCCCTCTACCACCTACACTGTATCCCTCTACCAGCTACACTGTATCCCTCTACCAGCTACACTGTATCCCTCTACCAGCTACACTGCATCCCTCTACCACCTACACTGTATCCTTCTACCACCTACACTGTATCCCTCTACCAGCTACACTGTATCCCTCTACCACCTACACTGTATCCCTCTACCACCTACACTGTATCCCTCTACCAGCTACACTGTATCCCTTACCACCTGCACTGGGAACCCCCTACCACCTCCCCTGTTCCCTCTACCAGCTACACTGTATCCCTCTACCACCTACACTGTATCCCTCTACCACCTACTACGTTTTCCCCTACCACCTACACTGTATCCCTCTACCACCTACACTGTATCCCTCTACCACCTACACTGTATCCCTCTACCACCTACACTGTATCCCTCTACCACCTACACTGTATCCCTCTACCACCTAAAACTGTTTCCCTCTACACCTACACTGTACCCTCACCACCCACACTGTATCCCTCTACACCTCACTGTTTCCCTCTTCCAACTACACTGTATCCCTCTACCCCTACACTGTATCCCTCTACCACCTCACTGTATCCCTCTACCACCTACACTGTGGGCTCTCTACCCCCTACACTGTATCCCTCTACCACCTACACTGTATCCCTCTACCACCTAAACTGTATCCCTTAACCAACTACACGTATCCTCTTTCCACCTACACTGTATCCCTCTACACCTACACTGTATCCCTCTTTCCACCTACACTGTGTCTCTCTACCACCTACACTGTATCCCTCTACCACGTACACTGTATCCCTCTACCACCTACACTGTATCCCTCTACCACCTACACTGTGTCTCTCTACCACCTACACTGTATCCCTCTACCACCTACACTGTGTCTCTCTACCACCTACACTGTATCCCTCTACCACGTACACTGTATCCCTCTTCCACCTACACTGTATCCCTCTACCACGTACACTGTATCCCTCTACCACCTACACTGTATCCCTCTACCACCTACACTGTATCCCTCTACCACCTACACTGTATCCCTCTACCACCTACACTGTGTCCCTCTACCACCTACACTGTATCCCTCTACCACCTACACTGTATCCCTCTACCACCTACACTGTATCCCTCTACCACGTACACTGTATCCCCCTTCCACCTACTGTATCCCTCTACCACGTAACATGTATCCCTCTACCACTACACTGTATCCCTTACCACCTACCTGTATCCCTCTCCAACTTACAACTGTATCCCTCTACCACCTACACTGTATCCCTCTACCACCTACACTGTATCCCTCTACCACCTACACTGTATCCCTCTTAATAGTCGTAATTCAAAGTAAATATTGTTTAGTTTAAGTTAGCAATGTCTGTTTACAAAATATTGGGAATGTAAATGATTTATCGTACAACATAAACTGAAACTGTCTATTAACTTTTATTGAGGAAGCATCTCTTATGTAATTGTTATGGAATATTGCGTTTATCAAAGCTTAAGTTAGCCTTGTCAAGCTTTACTGAAGCATACACCAGCGCCATCTAATGTTTAACTACCAAAGCCTGCAGCAGGAAGTCTGCCACTTCTAAATATAATGATTTTGAGTTACCTGTTGTTGCGTGAGTTTGTTCACTGTTAACACTCATATACTAGTTATTCATTGTGTATTTCAAGATGGTGAGTGAGGTTACTTCCTGCAGTGGCTAGAGACTTGGGAGTCAAATTATGTGAGGGGTGAGGTGAGCCAGTTCTAAGTTTTCTAGAAGGAAATTTTTAGCAAAGACTGTGTACAAACTTTCGTCAGTGGGATTGTGATCTGTAGACAAGAAGCTGTGATTATTGAATAAGTCTGCTGCAATATTAGAGGATTAAGCTGTTACCAACCCATCTTAGCACTAAACAACGATTACTTCAGGTAATGTTCAACATTATTAGTAAAATAACATCTTTTTTGACCTGTCCTCTAAATTAATTGATTCTGATCTGATCTGCAACAGAATTTTTATTGTTCATTACGTTTTTAAGCTACAATGATTGTTAACATTATTGTGTAATATTAACGTTACTTGTGAGAGAGAGCGAACTTTAAGTTTCTTAGGAATAAAACCCATATAACGCATTAATACTTTATTAACATACTGAAGATCCTTCAGTTACAGCCAAGTGGCAGTAGTGGGTATGAAGGTAGCGGGTAATATTAGTGGCAGTAGTGGGTATGAAGGTAGCGGGTAATATTAGTGGCAGTAGTGGGTATGAAGGTAGCGGGTAATATTAGTGGCAGTAGTGGGTATGAAGGTACCGGGTAATATTAGTGGCAGTAGTGGGCATGAAGGTAGCGGGTAATATTAGTGGCAGTAGTGGGCATGAAGGTAGCGGGTAATATTAGTGGCAGTAGTGGGCATGAAGGTAGCGGGTAATATTAGTGGCAGTAGTGGGCATGAAGGTAGCGGGTAATATTAGTGGCAGTAGTGGGCATGAAGGTAGCGGGTAATATTAGTGGCAGTAGTGGGCATGAAGGTAGCGGGTAATATTAGTGGCAGTAGTGGGCATGAAGGTAGCGGGTAATATTAGTGGCAGTAGTGGGCATGAAGGTAGCGGGTAATATTAGTGGCAGTAGTGGGCATGAAGGTAGCGGGTAATATTAGTGGCAGTAGTGGGCATGAAGGTAGCGGGTAATATTAGTGGCAGTAGTGGGCATGAAGGTAGCGGGTAATATTAGTGGCAGTAGTGGGCATGAAGGTAGCGTGTAATATTAGTGGCAGTAGTGGGCATGAAGGTAGCGTGTAATATTAGTGGCAGTAGTGGGCATGAAGGTAGCGGGTAATATTAGTGGCAGTAGTGGGCATGAAGGTAGCCGGTATAATATTAGTGGCAGTAGTGGGCATGAAGGTAGCTGGTAATATTAGTGGCAGTAGTGGGCATGAAGGTAGCGGGTAATATTAGTGGCAGTAGTGGGCATGAAGGTAGCGGGTAATATTAGTGGCAGTAGTGGGCATGAAGGTAGCGGGTAATATTAGTGGCAGTAGTGGGCATGAAGGTAGCGGGTAATATTAGTGGCAGTAGTGGGCATGAAGGTAGCGGGTAATATTAGTGGCAGTAGTGGGCATGAAGGTAGCGGGTAATATTAGTGGCAGTAGTGGGCATGAAGGTAGCGGGTAATATTAGTGGCAGTAGTGGGCATGAAGGTAGCGGGTAATATTAGTGGCAGTAGTGGGCATGAAGGTAGCGGGTAATATTAGTGGCAGTAGTGGGCATGAAGGTAGCGGGTAATATTACTGTTAGTAGTGGGCATGAAGGTAGCGTGTAATATTAGTGGCAGTAGTGGGCACGAAGGTAGCGGGTAATATTACAGTGGCAGTAGTGGGCACGAAGGTAGCGGGTAATATTAGTGGCAGTAGTGGGCATGAAGGTAGCGGGTAATATTACAGTGGCAGTAGTGGGCATGAAGGTAGCGGGTAATATTAGTGGCAGTAGTGGGCATGAAGGTAGCGGGTAATATTACAGTGGCAGTAGTGGGCACGAAGGTAGCGGGTAATATTACAGTGGCAGTAGTGGGCACGAAGGTAGCGGGTAATATTAGTGGCAGTAGTGGGCATGAAGGTAGCGGGTAATATTAGTGGCAGTAGTGGGCATGAAGGTAGCGGGTAATATTAGTGGCAGTAGTGGGCATGAAGGTAGCGGGTAATATTAGTGGCAGTAGTGGGCATGAAGGTAGCGGTAATATTAGTGGCAGTAGTGGGCATGAAGGTAGCGGGTAATATTAGTGGCAGTAGTGGGCATGAAGGTAGCGGGTAATATTAGTGGCAGTAGTGGGCATGAAGGTAGCGGGTAATATTACTGTTAGTAGTGGGCATGAAGGTAGCGTGTATATTAGTGGCAGTAGTGGGCACGAAGGTAGCGGGTAATATTACAGTGGCAGTAGTGGGCACGAAGGTAGCGGGTAATATTAGTGGCAGTAGTGGGCATGAAGGTAGCGGGTAATATTACAGTGGCAGTAGTGGGCATGAAGGTAGCGGGTAATATTAGTGGCAGTAGTGGGCATGAAGGTAGCGGGTAATATTACAGTGGCAGTAGTGGGCATGAAGGTAGCGGGTAATATTACAGTGGCAGTAGTGGGCACGAAGGTAGCGGGTAATATTAGTGGCAGTAGTGGGCATGAAGGTAGCGGGTAATATTAGTGGCAGTAGTGGGCATGAAGGTAGCGGGTAATATTAGTGGCAGTAGTGGGCATGAAGGTAGCGGGTAATATTAGTGGCAGTAGTGGGCATGAAGGTAGCGGGTAATATTACAATAGCAGTAGTGGGCATGAGGGTAGCGGGTAATATTACAGTGGCAGTAGTGGGCATGAGGGTAGCGGGTAATATTACAGTGGCAGTAGTGGGCATGAAGGTAGCGGGTAATATTACAGTGGCAGTAGTGGGCATGAAGGTAGCGGGTAATATTACAATGGCAGTAGTGGGCATGAGGGTAGCGGGTAATATTACAGTGGCAGTAGTGGGCATGAGGGTAGCGGGTAATATTAGTGGCAGTAGTGGGCATGAAGGTAGCGGGTAATATTAGTGACAGTAGTGGGCATGAAGGTAGCGGGTAATATTACAGTGGCAGTAGTGGGCATGAAGGTAGCGGGTAATATTAGTGGCAGTAGTGGGCATGAAGGTAGCGGGTAATATTACAGTGGCAGTAGTGGGCACGAAGGTAGCGGGTAATATTAGTGGCAGTAGTGGGCACGAAGGTAGCGGGTAATATTAGTGGCAGTAGTGGGCATGAAGGTAGCGGGTAATATTAGTGGCAGTAGTGGGCATGAAGGTAGCGGGTAATATTACAATAGCAGTAGTGGGCATGAGGGTAGCGGGTAATATTACAGTGGCAGTAGTGGGCATGAGGGTAGCGGGTAATATTAGTGGCAGTAGTGGGCATGAAGGTAGCGGGTAATATTACAATGGCAGTAGTGGGCATGAGGGTAGCGGGTAATATTACAGTGGCAGTAGTTGGCATGAAGGTAGCGGGTAATATTAGTGGCAGTAGTGGGCATGAAGGTAGCGGGTAATATTAGTGGCAGTAGTGGGCATGAAGGTAGCGGGTAATATTACAATAGCAGTAGTGGGCATGAGGGTAGCGGGTAATATTACAGTGGCAGTAGTGGGCATGAGGGTAGCGGGTAATATTACAGTGGCAGTAGTGGGCATGAGGGTAGCGGGTAATATTAGTGGCAGTAGTGGGCATGAAGGTAGCGGGTAATATTAGTGGCAGTAGTGGGCATGAAGGTAGCGGGTAATATTAGTGGCAGTAGTGGGCATGAAGGTAGCAGGTAATATTACAGTGGCAGTAGTGGGCATGAAGGTAGCGGTAATATTAGTGCAGTAGTGGGCATGAAGGTAGCGGGTAATATTACAGTGGCAGTAGTGGGCATGAAGGTAGCGGGTAATATTACAGTGGCAGTAGTGGGCATGAAGGTAGCGGGTAATATTACAGTGGCAGTAGTGGGCATGAAGGTAGCGGGTAATATTACAGTGGCAGTAGTGGGCATGAAGGTAGCGGGTAATATTACAGTGGCAGTAGTGGGCATGAAGGTAGCGGGTAATATTAGTGGCGGTAGTGGGCATGAAGGTAGCGGGTAATATTACAGTGGCAGTAGTGGGCATGAAGGTAGCGGGTAATATTAGTGGGCATGAAGGTAGCGGGTAATCCTCTGTACTGCAGTGTCTGCATGAACCTTATTTGTTATATCACTGAAAATATGACTCGCAAAATCGTAATGACACGATTGCAAGCAAACCATTCCACGGGCGGGAATAGAACCCGCGATCAGAGTCTCAAAACTCCAGACCGTCGCGTTAGCCACAATAAGATTCGTCCAACTAGGTATGTTTCTACATCATATGAAGATTAACATAGGCATCACTTGCATTTGTGGTCACAGTGGTGCCTATGCTAACCTTCCTATGGTGTAGAAAATGCCTAGTTGGACGAATCTTATTGTGGCTAACGCGACGGTCTGGAGTTTTGAGACTCTCTGATCGTGGGTTCTATCCCCGCCCGTGGTATGGTTTCATTGAAAATATTTTGAGGGAATGAACCGACGGGGTTCATATTACATAGAACAAATTGATGAAGTTTAATGTCTGTGCTTGGATGGATTGGGTTACCTTCGGTTTAGTTTGGTTACCTTAACAGGTTTTATTCAGTTGCCCAACATATAGCCATCTATATTGCACGACTCTGGTAATATTTGTTAATTTAAATGTTAGAATATTGCAAATGTCAAAAATCGAGCCCCTAAAGCCTAAACTGTTATAAACTATAAATGAATATATAATACAAACCAAGGCGAATGTTGCCTGACGAGAACTGTTAATATATTGATTACATATTTTAATTTTTGTATAATACATACGCAATTTTAACAATCTTCAACTTGTCGGTTTTTCAAACCATTCATCACAATTTTAACAATGGTTAAAAGTCGTATTTTTTCAGCAGAGGTCTGAGAAGTGAAGCCTAATCATGAGTGTGTGGGCCAGGCGCTTGGCCACCTTCGTACCCCAGGATGCAGCTAGCACCAGACGGGCCTCCTGCAGTGCCTTGGATGTCTGCTCCCTCGTATACCATGACACTGTATCTTCTACGTCTTCCAAACACTGGCCTTCACCACTGCCTGACAAGTCAGTCTACAGATCGAGTCATCGGGCTTGCATCGGGCCCTCTGATACACAAATAAATGAACCTTCCACAGAATACCTGGGCCGTAAAAGGTCATCTCTCGACCCTTCTTGGCTGTCTCCAACCCTCAATATTAAGGAGAAGTCGCTGAGGTTAGTAAAGGTCATGAATTTGGCAACCTATGTGGGATTTGCATCGTCTTCAGACATTGTCCCTTGATAACGGTAAGAGATTCAAGATTCATAGAATTGCATTTGGCCTCTTCCTTGGATAGAGCTTTACTGCCTCTTTCCCAGTGGCGTTGCTATGGTTGGTGTCTCCCGGGGCGGCATCTTTGGTGTCACCCGCATGAAATCCAAGGTCGGGGGGATGGGGGGGAGTTAACTCCTGTTACGTCACTCCTGCATGACCAGTGTCAAATGTTTAGCAATGAGAACGTTTAAGGGCCATAAACCGAACAGGAAAATGCTACTCAGCTTTAAATAATCATAGTAATATTGAGGAAACATAAAATCGTATACACTTTGAGTACAGGCAACAGCTCGTACAGTTATACCTCTTCAAGAATGCGAAAAAAAAAAAATTGCAATATCAGTGAAACGCTAGTTCCGATTTGACCTTGAGTACATGATCAGTGAATCTGAGCTTACATTTCCTTGCCTTCAGTCCTGCAAAATCATCTATCATATCAATATGTAATCATATAAGAGGCTATATAGAAACGAAGGATTTCTCTTGTGTTGCTGCAGGACTGTTTTGTTCATTAGGGTCACAATCTCTAGAGGCTCTGGTGTCACCCGGGGCGGCTCCCCCCCCCCTCCTTCCCTTACGACGCCATTGCTCTTTGCCCAAGCGTTATGATCCTTATGAGCTTAGGGCTCTTCCCCTGATTAAAAACACTAAATTCCAATTTAGTGTTTGAGATAATTATATATATACTCAAGGTGATAGATTACATTAGCTGCATGTTAATTTGCATGGCTATTTTATTTAGTATTGCTTGTATGACTAATTGCTTATCTTTATAAGAGTTGAAAGATCTTATGGGTTAAGCTCTTTGTGATTCCAATTTCTTCCTGCAGGTTCCAGCAAACTAGGCTCATAGCAGAGCTAATAGGTGTGTGTAATGGTAGTTATTGCTTATCAGAAGGTCCGAGGCCTCTGAAAAGAAATTGAGGTAAGGGTGTGAAGGCTTTGATCCAAATATACGAGCTTCAGGCTCTTGGATCCTCTGTATACACATGTCTCCAAGCCACTCTGGAACACTCTCGAAGTACCACATCAGTTTGTGTGTGGGGGGGGGGAAACTTTAAGCCAGGTAATGGCTTCATCAGTCAGTCCAATACAAACTGGCAGTGCCAGACAAGTGGAAAAGGGCAAATGTAATACCTATTTACAAGGCAGGTGACAGGTCCTTAGCTTCGAACTATAGACCAATAAGCCTTACCTCCATATTGGTAAATTGATGGAATCGGTAACTGCCGAAGCAATTTGTAGCCATCTTGAAAGGCATAAACTGATTAATGAATCTCAACACGGTTTTACAAAGGAGCGTTCCTGTCTTAGGGATTTTTTTTTTATTTTATTTAAAATACAATACATAGCTTAACATAACCCCTTAAACAAGGGTTGATACACATTGAATATAAACACATTTTGAAACAATCTCTCAGAACGTACAATAGCAAATAAACACAATATTAACAAACACAAGAGGTTACACAAATATACTAGAAAATATCGCTTGTGACAAAACATAACATTAAGAAAGATGGGCAATCTTAACCCTATGTACACAAGAACAAGAACATAACATGTAGGTGACCCCTGTAGCAGGTTCAATAATATAATTAAATCCATAATCCCTTCGGGTATACACCATTTACATAATATTACTGGGACATATTGCCAATGCACAATACAATACAATAAGAAGAATATTATGATAAATATATAAATATATCGGTTACTCACAACCAACACAAATAATCAATAAATGAAAGGACCTACATCACAATCTCATGATAAAACAAAGTACATACTCTTACTCACCTAACCCCTCAGTACTTAAGTTCCCTACAGTCACACATACTCGCCTTACCACAAGTCTTACGAGTTAGCCACAAAACTAGAATAGCCATAAGCATTCCGCACTCATCTACAGGCTATACACATTATATAATATAGCAATAAAATGCTCAGTACAAACACAAAACCCCGTTTGCCAGGCCATAGCCGAAAAGTACATAAAGTACTTCAACAAAGAAAGAAGGCAGTAGACTCTGACATAAGACATCTATAACACATATAACTGCACCACCACATCCACTCACACAACCACATATACCTCAACCACGCATTACACAGATACACACAGCAACACAGCCTTTGTGCATACCCAACCCCGGAGACAAGCCCGTTCCATCCCCTGAAATTCAATCCCCCCCCCTTTCACAACGTTAACAATGCTCTCACACTCGTACTACGGTACCCTGCTGAAAAAGCCTGGTCCCAGCGACTTCCATATATTCCCCGATTACAACACAACGTTCTATAAATGGTCCCCGCCAACACCCTTGTGCGCACCTCCCAATCCCCATTCCTTCTCATCGCCCAGGATACAAAAACAAAATCCGCAATTATATACATGATTGCACGTTGCACAGGCGCCTCGACGCCTCCCACGTCCAAACTTAACGCCCTCAATACTGATATCCCCCCACCTCCCACTGTCCTCAGAATCTTATCCATCCATTCCCTGATACACCCCAAATTATCACAAATAACTACATGAAACGCAGTCTCCTCATCCCCGCACACCCGACACGTGCCCTCCACCATCAACCCTCTTTCCTTAAGTGCAGCACCCGACGGCAGTATGCCATGGAGAAAACGGAGAAATACCTCTCGCACATTTGGGCGCACGCGCATCAACCGTAATCTCTCCCATATATCCTTCCACGCATACATAGGGTAGATACTCTCAGCCTTCGCGACTACCTTCGCCCTTAAAACACGCTCTAAAACACCCACTCGAACTTTATTAGGGTCCCGTACATGCAGCAACGCCCGCAACACGTCTTCACACACCTTCATCTCCGACCCTCCCCACCACATTCGCACCTCTTCATGCAAGCCATTCACGCCCCTCCCTGCATGACCCCACACACGACATAACCCCCACTTCAAATAAGTACACTTGACTCTTAACCGTAAATCAATCAACCCCAATCCTCCTCTGTTGACCGGTAAAGTAACCACACTCCTACTCAACCATTCACACCCGGAACCCCAAAGAAAATGGAAAACCCTCTTTAACAGCCTCGTAACATCCGGACCTGCTAACTGATATACCGCAGCCACGTGCCAGACTTTACTGTATAACACATTCACAACAATCGCATGCTGATGTACTGTCAAATGAGTTGGTCTTAACCCATCCAATCGCCCCACCATTCGATCCACAACAAGTCCAGAATTAACCATCCTCGCCTCTCTCGTACTACTCATATACACTATTCCACACACTTTTATCCTGTCCACCATATTCCAACGTACATTCCTTCCCCAACTCTCTCTTCCCACCCAATCTCCTAAGACCAGTAATTTTGATTTTTCCACATTAACTCTTAACCCGGTAACCCCCGCGAAATTATCAATAACATCTCCAACCACACGTAAATTCCTCTGCGTTCACACGAGTAATGTAGTGTCATCCACATACCCTATTATTCACTGCTCTCCACTTCCTACTCCCCAATCCACCTCCATGCACGCTTCCACCTTTCTATAGAAAGGGTCTGTTAAACAGGCAAACAACAATTGAGACGGGACAACCCTGCCTAATACCCCGACCCATGGATACCCACTCACCTAACTTCCCATTTACCTGTACACACACTCCCACACCTGCATACAATGTCTCTGCCCAACGCACCACCTCCTCCCCAAAACCCTGCCTCCTTAATATGTACCACAATACCTCACGTTCTACACTATCATACGCCGCCTGCCAATCTAACGCTAAGACAACCCCCCCCCCTGCTCCCCTCCCGACCCTTCCACAAAATTCTTTATAATACTATGCCCGTCATACATCGTCCTCCCAGACACACCATATTGTCCTGTCGCAACCACTCTATCCACCACACACTTCATACTATTTCCTAAATTTTTTGCAAAAATCTTATAATCAGCACACAGCAATGATATTATCCTAAAGTCCCGCACCGTGTCTTGTCTCTTACCTTTTGGCACTAAAACCACAACTGCAGTTCCTTGCAACCTGCCCATCCTCCCCTCCCTTTTCATCATATTCATTAGTTCTACTAAGAAGGACTTCAACACATTCCAATGACTCACATAAAACTTGCAGGGCAAGCCATCCAGACCTGGAGCCTTACCTCGTGCCATCCCCTCCAAAGCACTCCACACATCCCCTTCTTCAATATCCCCCCCCCAACGCCATGCGATCACTGCCACTTAGCACACAAGATACATTCTCCCCCAACCTCCCGAAAGCCTCCACATCCACCCCTACACTCAGTAAATTTTTTGCCAAACCACCTATCCACGTAACCACTCATTGCCTCCGTTGTTCTTAGCTCATGTCCCGCCCTATATCCACCTAAGTCCTCATGTACCACTAGCCTATCAATTTCCATAGCCATACATCGCTGCCTCTGTCCCCGTAACACACAGGCCGATGGGCGGTCACCCCACACCGCCTCTTCAATTCCACCCTGCACTCTCACCGCATCAAATCTGTCATTCTGCAAATCTCGAATCCTCCCTTTTAACAACTCGATTTCCTCCATGGGATACTGCCCTACCTGCACGCCCCTCTCATAACTTTGCAACCTACCCTCGAAATACTGCTGCAACCCGTACGTCATTTAACCCTGGTACTTTCCCCATCGCACATAAAACCACCGGATCCTCTCCTTAGCTACCCCATCCCACCACCCCAGCAAGTCACCCACATCCCTACCCTCTCCCCACAAATTCTCCCACATTGTCCTAAAATCTAACCCCGCCTCCTCCACCCCAAGAAGTCTCACATTTAACTTCCAATACCCTGGATACCTCTTAGGTAAGCTGGCCCAAGTAAAGTCCGTATAAACAGCTCTATGATCCGTGTATACAGCATCCA